ATTCTCCTTGACTGTTTGGCTAGTGCGTACTGAATAACACGACTATATTTCAATCACGACATACTTCTAGCAAAAAAGCTGCCTGTGGTCATTGTTAGAATGAGAAGGCTGCAAAATCTGTCACTAGAAAGTCTTTTTGTCTGCCTGATTAATGTCTCACTGTCAGCTGCGTTTAGCCAGCCGTTGCTGCTACACATGCATCCGTTTGGGTTTGATTACGGTGTCGTAAGCAATCAGCTCTCCACGCGTGCAGCTCCCACTCTGGTACTTACCTTCCCTCCTCCTCCGCTTCTGCACGATTGCTGCTGCTTGTTACCTTTAGGGCGTAAACAAGAGAGAGTAGTTGGTGCTGGTGGTGACGGCGTTTTTTTTCTGGACATTTGTTTTCCTCTGGCCTTGTGGCAGCAGCAGTAGTCTGCTTCTCGAAGCCTCAGTCAGAAACGCACTCATCGCGCATCCACAGGGGGGAGGGAGGGGGTTTCCGTGTTCTGCGTCCTCAGCCTGTCTTTAAGCGCAGTTTGTCCGCGTACGTCTGGTCTGCCTATGAGGACAATTAGTTGCTCTCGGTCATTCGAATGTAAAGCCAACGGCGCGCCCTCCCTCTGTGGGTATGTTTACTTTTCAAGGCGAATCATTTGTGTGTGTGTGTGTGTGTTTGATTTGGCGGCCGGCGCGGAACGCCGCACATACAGTATCATCATCCGGCCTGTCTCAAAGGCACGTTAATCGAAATTCCGAAATGTGTGCGCGTTTTACCGCCTGCAAAAAATGCGTTTGATGAGACTGACTGACTGCATAATCAGAATGGCATCTGCCCAGTGCTTTGCAGTGTCCTTCTAAATTCGCTGTTTTTTGAAAACATGCTCAAAATGTTGCCTTCTGCATTTATTTTGTACCAAGTTACGTTTCCTTTCAAATGTATTTGAGTGTCTTGTGGTTAAGAAAATAGGTTTATCATTTTGAGAACTTGTAGGACTGTTGAATGTCCATCCATACAGCATCTGCTCTGTCCGTTTATTCATGCTGTTTATATAACATGGTCCGCATTTATTAAAAAATGCTAAGGATCCTCATAGTAGAGAAATGCACGCTTTTTCTTGCACGGAAAGTCTGCAAAACACATGTGCAATTAAAACTGCTGGTTGGATTCAATTTTAATCGGAAATTGGCAAGAAAAATAAGCCGGAATATACGTCTTTTTCAGGTAAAGCATTTGAAGAGAACATAATTTTCTACCAAATGTGGACTAGGAATAATATTTTTTCCATAGAATACATTTGAATTTATTAGGCCATGTAAAATCTTCAGGGAACTTCGTACTAATGAAGTAGTTTTTTCGGTAGCGGGTCGAAAAAGTCTCATTCAAAAGATGGGGATTAAATACATTTTATTATTTTACGCAATCATCCCTATAACCTACGCACCTAGGGTACCCTTGCTAATCGAAAACGCATTTCATAACTTGGGCTAGCATTTTCTGAGCTAAGCCGGATACTGTATGTCGTAGGTTTTTGTCTATTCCAATTTACAGATGAGACTGTAGATTCTAATGACTAATTTACATGGCGGTATGCTGGAAGGGTCTCCGTTGTGAACGTATTTTCTGAATTTCGTTTAACAATTTATATCCAATTTGCACAGACGTATTGTGGAGGTAAAAAAAAAAGAAGACTGGACAGAAAGGGACTAAATGCATCCAACATCGACTCATGCAGTGACCCTGTTCTCAGTCGGACTTGCTGGCCATCCCTTCCAGCTAATCAAAGTTTTTGTCCTTTCATCTAGACACCACACTATAGGATGGCCTTAGCCCTTTGGTTTCACAGTTTTAAAGAAACGCACCCGCCTATACTGTTACCATTATTACACTTTGCCGACCGTAAGCTTTGCTGGCTGAAGGACCCTCTTAGCCTTTCTTACAGGCGACTTAGCCGGAACTGATCACTGTCTGCTGATAGCATAAAGTGTCTATTTTTACCCTTTTCGTACCTCCCACGCGACCTGCGCTCTGTGTCCGTAGCGTTCATTATTTACCTTCGGCATTCCGTCTGATTGGTGCTTGCCTTTCGATTGTTCGAACAACGGCACCGCCATCTGCCCACGCGATTTGCAGGTGCCTACACTCGTGTAGTCGATCATTTTCCTGCTTTTGTGGCATCATTTTTACTTTTCACGATATTGTGACTGTTGTCAGCTCGCAAGATATTCCGTTATGTAGGCATGTTGAACTGTGATGGATGTATTCCAGAGGACAGTGCAAGGTTGAAATTAGTAAGACCGTGACTAGCGAAACGTATGAATCACACCGTAGCACCGTAAAACACAATATTGTCTCGCTACAAGTCTCTTAGTGCACGTTTGTCGCACTGTCATACCTCCATATCCGCCTCGCCTTGTAAAAAATGGTATCCCTTTGTTCGCAACTTCTGAACTTGCTCTCGACTGTCTTGCGACTGATAGCTGATTGTGCTTGCTATCTGCCCCGTAATTCTTGATCGTCGCTGTCACAAAGCAGTGTTTGTTGTCGTGTCAGAACTTTAGACGTTTTCCTCAGACATTAATCTGTAGATTAGAAGGAGATGATAAGATCGCTGGAACAAAGTGTATTGCCCTAACTTTTCGGTGACTCACTCCCACCTATCATCCGAGGCAGTCGCCGAAAAGACTTCGGTTAAGAATTCGAAACGGATGGACAATAAGTTTATTGTTTCAGCCATCCCATCTTTTGCTCATTTGAAAAGAATGCGTTCTTTGGGACAAAAAAAGGTTAATTTAATCAGTACATTTTCGAGCCTCGCTACCCAGCTCGTCTTCGGTCTAGCGAGAATGTGCAACGAAAAATTGACATTTCAGACGTGTAGAAAAAATCAATAGGCCTGTGGCGTGGGAGCTCACTGGTAGCTGGGGTTTCTGTCAGTCTGTATTGTGCGGCCCTCGTCTCTTGCACCGTTCCTTGAGAATTTTATAAATTCCATCCAAGCCTATGTGTCGGTTGATGCATGAATTGTCAGAGTGTATGGCCTCAATAACTTCTCGGCCTTTCTTGGAGTGACAAACTCCGACGATGCGTGTTTTGTCCCATTTGAAGTTGTGTTCTGCATCAAAGCTATGCATAGCCACTTCAGATATATGGTCACGTCTTGTCACGGTCAATTGGTGCTAGTGAATGCGTGTAGAGACGGACCTCCCTATTTGGCCACAGTATATGGTATCACAAGCTTGGCATGGGATCTTGTGAACGACTTCTTTCTTATCAAAATAACCAACCCTATCCCTAGGGTATACAAGCTGGGCACGAAAAGTAGTCGTTGGTTTGTGCGCCACTTTTATTTTGTATTTCCTCAGGTGCCTTTCAACGAGTTCAGATGCATTTCTTATATAAGGAAGGATTTGCTATGTATTTGTTTTGGGCGCCTGAGTGGGATGCCTGATTTCCAATGTATTCTTCTCATCTCTGAACCGCTTATAATCTCTTTAATGGTCATGAAAGTCTGTGCACGCGCTAATTGTGTAGACAAGCGCGCATCATGTGCGTGTGTTTGCAAACCGGCGTAAGTAGGGCCATCTTTTTTAGGTATCATTTGTCTTGACTGGGGCTGCAAAAGAAACAGATCAACTTGAAAGATTACCTCTTCAAGTTAGTTACTGTACATTAGCATGCTAGCCTTTTGTCGGGCACCGTCAGAACCCGTGTAAGTGCCGGAAATACTCGCCTGACGTACACAATTTGAAGATGTACTTTCCCGGTAAAGCTCTGTGCACATCGAAAGTACACGCACCTCGAGGAGACTAGAAATGCTGGCTTATTAACCCCCGCGCCACCTGGTGCCATCTGCGCTTGAACCCGGATTCCGGGGACAATAAGCTTTTACGTCCAGTCTGCTTGAGCTGCCGACGTCAATTCTGCTATTTTTGATCTGGAACGTGTTAGGTTCGCTAACCTGTCCCAGCCGCCAGGTGAAGATGGGTCTGCCTCTTTCATCCTGAAGCTCCATGCCTGAGCGTCTTCAGCTTGTAACCTCGCGACGAGCAAGCAATCAACGAGATGTATTTGATAGTTCGTGTTACAGGTGTTTGAACGCGTCAAGAAGGGTGTTGGAACGCGTTTACGGAGTTCAATATGATAAAGTAGGTCTTCTGTGTGAAATTGCGAGTACAAGCCTTCCTTATCTTGTCAACTCAGTTCCTAGCCGCCGTCCATTTAATTGGCCGCCACTAATCATATAAGCGTAATTTTACCTGCGCCCCTCATGAGAGCAGAGGAATAGGTTAGCCCCATGGATTTGCGTTGCATTCCAGGGAAGTCAGGTTCAAGGTTTGAGTTGGTGTCAAGTGTCTGGTTAAGGGTGGGACTAGAGTTACGGTTTCAGCTAGAGTTAATGTCTGACTGAGGACACGGAGATAGATGCTCTTCCTGAGGTTTAGCGCAAGGCCACTTGTGTCACTAGGGGGCGGATCCCATAACCGATTCTCATAGACTACTTTGTCTATTCTTTTTCTAGGCTTCTGGGCAATATTTTATCCTTCCAGTCTTCTATTTGGTTGAATGAGGGTTATGCCTACCGAAGTAATAACTTTAAATAGCGCTACTTTAAATGCTTTTGCTATCGAACGGTCGGGTATGATGCAGCTTTCTAACGGCCTCAAGTGCCACAGCTGATCCACCTGCAAGTATTTGAGAAAGTCGAGGAATTATAAGAATGAACAGAAAAAAAACACGACTCTTATGAGTGGTCTTTCTGCAACCGAACAGTGGGAAAATTCATCGTCTCTTCAATCTCAAAAATAATTAACCTTTGCCACGGGTATGTTAGTTTTCGCTCACCTGACTCTGTAGTCACCGTCAAGCTTTTCCAACCCGATTCATCTATAAATGCTGTGTTTCGTCAACCGACCATCTGCTTACTGGTCTGTAGAGTAGGAGACCTCACATACAATGTGATTACATCATTTGACTCTCGCGATGGTCCTCAGACATCGCCCTTTGCCTTTCGTCGAACATGAAATACCAGACGCAGATGTCATGTAGTAATTTGAATACTTCCTGAGTTGTATATGGACTGCTTCTGCTCCCTCGCTAAGCTACCAGAATTGAGAATATGTGTTGCAGTTTTGGGTTCTGGCCCTCTTTTGTCCTTTACTTATATAGACTTTAAACGTTTTCTGTGGTCGCTATTACATCGCCGCTTTGTCTTTTTTGCCTATTCCAGATTCGGAAAGTACAGTGAATGGCTGCGGAGATAGGCTTCTGGAGACCTTCGAAACACGTCCATGCCGTCCCCTCTTTACTTTCCATGATGGTAAACGGGCCCACTTTGGCTGGCGAGCCAAATTCAAGCCTTTCAACAGGGCACTCTCCTCCTTTGAATTCGATGTTATGGTTGGAGCTGCTGGCAAATCAAATAGCTGTCTAGGTTGGTTCTACCTCTTTACTACGCCTTCTTCCCTCTCTTGCTTTTTTGACATTTCTGACGGTTTTATGTGTTTTAGAGGTTGTTTCTTTAATTCGCACTAACTGGTATTCGTGGTACAGCTGTTTGCGTAATTGTCGAAGCACAAGAATGACACAGATGCGCAAGCACACAACGTCCTAATCCAACTCATCTCCTGTCAGAAAATGTAGGTGTCAATATTAGGGGAAGTTGGCAGATTTGAATAATTCAATTGACCCAATTGTGAAGCATTTGTGGCCTCGGTGGGATTCGAACCCACATCATCATGGAAGGCTTTATTTGGTACAGCCAACGCTCTACCAACTGAGCTAATAAGGCAGGCCGAAAGCCATGAATTTAATCACACTTGGGTCGATTTACTCGCCCAGCCTACTGTATGTATGGAATCCACCAATAGGGCTACAGTAAGGTGCCTGCCAAGGCGGGATTTCCTAGGCAATCATCTAGAATCCACCAGAATGACTACTAGTCAGATTTAATAGCAGCAACAGAAGGGTGGCAGTTGTAAGGGGTGTAAATCATTCAACTATGAGTGACACACATTTGGAAGTGTCTGCGCAGGACTTTGTACGCCCGCGCCAAATCCATACATCGGTTGATTGAGTTTCCATCAGTGGACCAGGCTTCAATCAATTCAGAACAATAAACAAACTGTTCCGGTGCTCAACCGGCCTCCTCCTTTCTTCTTGCATCCACCATTCGACTTGTAAGGGTGCGGCCCTCCGAGCCTTAAATATGCAATTTATTTACTTATTTAATTGTCATTCAACTCACCTTCGGGGCTCCTTCTCGCAAATCATGGCTTCACCCGTTCGCTCATTTACTCTCTCCTTCTGCCTTCTCCGTTCTCAACTGCAGATTTTCCAAGAAAGGAACTACGCTGCCGTCTGGCTATCGCAGTAACCGCAAACTTCATCAACTACAACACAGCTGATGAGGCACGCGTGGAAGAAATCTCAGGGGTCGCGAGTATCTTCAACCAACAGTACTTTTCCTTGATGTCCAAAACTCTTGGCATAGAACTGGAGAATTTAGTCTACTACAAGGATGAGACCCATTACTTTGTAATGACTGTCAAGAAGCACTCCCTCCTATCCAAGGGCGTCCTCAAAAAGGCAAGTTTGCGTCAATTCTGTTTGTCGTCAATTACTCCTCCTGTTAATTTTTCTTCATAGTCGACCGGGTTTGCGTAGTTTGTTTCACTCGAACCTTAATTACATTCCCTAGAACATCTGAAGGCCGATCGGAAGTGGCCGCCAAAAATATGCCCAGGGAAATTGTCGTTTGTTTCCATAAATAATTACAACCGTTCTTCAAATATTCCCATCTTTAACTTGAAAACCCTATTTGGCAAACAGATACTTTCGGCAATTCATCATCGGACCGGTATAATTGCATGCATAATGAAAATAGTACAGTTGGAAAGGTCAATAAGTGTCTTGTGATTACAATTCATCGTTTTCACGCGGCCGGCATGGCGACATCAGGATGTAGACGTCATGGCGCTTAAGGAGGGGGGGCCATTCGGGTAGGCTGTGGGTATTGGTCATGAGTCAATTACGTAGAGTGAAAATTCTCGTCACTTCATGAAATCAACGGTCACCAGGGGATGGAGGCGATATGCGATCGCCACCTAGAGTCCTCCACGGAAGTGATAATGCGTGTATTAGCGTCTTCTGAAAAAAACAACACTGGGCTAGGTCGTATAATCAGTGCTTCGGCTGCTGCTAGCGCCCGTTGGCGTAGATCCTTGGAGAAATTGCCTGCTATCCGGTAAACAACCTGTAACGCTTCGATAGGATCCACCCGGTGATCCACCTCGACAAGGCGTGCGAAAATAAAACCCAAGATCGATCTAGTTTCCCTTTTACTTAGCCAGGCCGATATATGTTCTCGTACCTTCTTTTCCAGGCGCCTGTTTGTTCGGCCAACCCTGTCCAGCTGTACTATCTTAATTATTCATGCAATTATACCGCACGGATTATCAATTGCGGAGAACATATGATTGCCAAGCAGACTTTTCAAATTAAAACTGAAATAGCCGTGTTTTGCTTTTGTATAAATTTTACAAAAACGCCCCTGAGCAGTAGAAAAAGCGATCGCTGGACCGAAAATCTTATCTGCCGGACGTTTCGGATTTTCTCCAGAATCCTTAGTCATAGGTAACCGTAGAATGCTGTGCGACCTAAGCTGTAAAAATTTCCTCTTCATTAACTAGTAACTGACATTAACTGATAATTTCACGGAGCCTTGTTTCTGCACACAATGTTTTACTGCTCTCTTGTAAGGTTTCCTCTATCGCCCTATCATCGTTAAGTAGTTTCTTAACGGCTTCTTCGTCTCCCTGGTATAGTCGTGTTAGGTAGTTAACCTGCGTTTTAGTATACATAGTCAGCCTTACTGCCGTACTGCCTAGGTAATCTTTGGGTGTAAAAACATGCGATGCGCAACGTCTGGCACCTTTTTAACATGTAGGTGCTGTTTTGGCGTCTCCATCTTCTGAAGATTCTTCGACTGTGCTTTGCCTCCCCTTTCGTCTCCCTGGTTCTGGACATTCAGGCCGTCTAAGCGTTGTTGCAGTGCAGCCTTGCAACACATTTTCCTAATCAAGCCAGCTTTTTCTTGTCAAAATTTTGAGATTTTAAAGTCTTTTTTGTCATTTAGAACCTCCCAACAACCAGCACGATCAGAGCCCTAAAGGTGCCCCACTGCTCTGAAAACGGCACCCCAAGCCATAAGTAGGACCTGCATATTTTTAACTTGAGTGTCTTTCTGCAAAATCCCGTAGACGCAGCAGCGCCTGTCAAGCGATTACCGTCTACTTGAGCGTGAATCCCCCCCGCGCCGCTTGCAGACATTGTCCGTATGAGTGTGTGTGTGCGTTCACCTGCAATGCGTTATAGTTAAGCCATTTCGCTGGCGCCTGCTTTTAAAGGGGGGCCTGTCAGCCAGGTGATAGGAGACAGATGACTTCGTCTTTCCGGCCACTTTTCCACCGGTGGCAGTAAACGACCTTTCTAAAGGTTAGTGGTTATGAGCTAGAAGATGCGATCGCTGGAACGGGAATTTTATTTGCCTGACGTTTCGGATTCTGTCGCACGCAACTCGAATTGCCCTCTGTGCTGAGACCTTGTCTGAGCAGGAGGAGAATCAGTCACGTGGGCAGGACCGGGCCCAGCAGCAACTGCGACGACAGCGAACATGGGAACCAC